GCACTAAGTGTATAAGACAAACCAAACGCACAGAAACTGCTCCGAATGTTTCACAGTCAATTTCAATCGAGAACCAGCCCAATATCTTTAAAACAGGAATTCGTTATTCGTTAGTAGTGTGGTTTTTGTTCAAGAAAGGTCTTAAGCATATGGCGTTAGTGGAGTTATTGGTATAGACAGGTGCAATAAGAAGATCGTCGAATTTGAAAACGGTGAAATCAATGGCTAAGTACAAAAGATCCTTATAAAATATGAATATCAATCGAGAAAACACTTATTGCGTATGCGGTTGTAGGACATTCTTATATTAAGTTCACCCAAGAGACAGGGAGAGTAAAATACTTCAGATTTATTTTATAAATGAATCTCATTAAAGTAAAGTCCGTAAGCACCTGACGTTACGCAATGTCCCCAGTATGTAAAATTATTTGTTCATCTCGATGTATATTATTTCATGATGAATGTACACGGCAATATATATATATACATGCATAAGAGAACACGCAAGATTACCATCAGTTAATAACTATGTCGCAAATCTCGCACAAAGCGGATGTGAGTCTTGCTAAAAATAGCGTGCGTGTCGATCGGTTGTTCGTGATCAGCTAGTGCTTTATTTACGCCGCTTGAGGTAAACCGCATCCTTTCTATTACAATATCATGCGACGGGGGCGCAAGCAAAATCGACCCTTGTGTTGACGGCGCATTATCTATTGCTGTTAACGAATCGAAGCGCAAAGTGACTTTTCAAGCGCAGGGGAGATGAACACACAGGCAAACGCAAAGTTATCAGTACAGGGAAACTTCATGGTAGCCGGGGTACGTGAGTGAACACGTTTCACAACATTCTCCCCTGCGTTCCAAACACAGGTTGAGAAGACTATGCAGCTTGGTGGTATTCCAGACTTCCCTAGGAGGTTTGTAGCTGAAGTGAGTGCGGCAGCTCTGATGAGACGAACGAGGTAGCTGGCATTGCTGGTCAACTGGCACAGTAATTTTGCAATTCTACACACAGATTTTACAAAATAAATTCGGGAAACTACAAATGACATTGAAGCATCTTGAAATCATGCGCAGACAAGTTGAAGGGCTACAAAGAAAACTTTGGAAAATACAGTAGTTGACAACTTGGTTGACGAAATTTATACTAGTTCAGTGATTTATGAATAACTGCAAGGTGTAAACTGCAGGGATTGAGTTAGTTTCAAAATGGTTCAATTGTTGTCATACTGCGTTTAGCTTTAACGTGCACTAACATAATACGTCTAATGTTCTGACGGAAAACGAGGGTTGACTATAGACGCGAGTATGAACATATTTGGTAGCCCATGCAGGGGTTGGTGTTAATTCCTTCTATTTGCAACCAGAATGAGTTATTTTGTGGCAGGTACTCTTTCAGTTTCTACTTCAAATTTTCAAACTACGAAAGGGGATGAAAAACAGTTTGTTATTAAGCTAATTATAGGTTGACACATCAGTTCGTAAACTCTGAGCGCATTATTCATAATGTTTTTATGTGAATTCGCTTTTGGTCAAAAGATGAGGTGGGCCCACCCATATGAAAACAGTTAAGGTGGGATGGGAATGAGAGAATCGTTGCAGCAATTCTTTTCTGTTTTTTATTCAAATTGCTGTTTATCTTATTTTTTCATTTTTACTTCTTTTTATTCAATATACAATGATACAATTTTCACGAAGTTGGGAGCGGCCAATAAAAGGGCTGCCATACATTACACAAACGGGTAAAGTTAGGTGGTGGTGGGATTTGAATACTCGTCCCCCGGGGTGGTAATTTGGCGACGTTAGAACCTGACCATTTTTATAATGATGTTTTCAAGCTTAATGGTTATGTCACAGGTTTGTTAAGAACACTTATCTATGCACTATGGTGGTTTGCTCTTTTAAAATAAATCGGTCGGTGCATTTCATTGTGTGAGTTTTACTGATGCAAACAACTAATTTATACATCCTAGTAACAATCTTGGGAGGTATACAATTCGGTCAGATTATTTTCAATAACCGGAAGATAAAATCGGTGACATATCCGGCGGCATTCTAAGAAGCAGATTTTATTAATTATGGGCTTAAAATGAAGATATTACCTTGCTGTAATGGTGAACGCTGGAGTGGTAGATTTCGGTTTGCTCGTTTGCTGACTAGCTGGAATACTCATAAATAATGCGAACTATGAATAGCATTGTAAGCCCAGCAGAATGTTCTCATGAGCAATGTCTAATTGGTGTGTGCGCCGTCGCAGTTATTACTCTGTTTTCCATACTTTGTCACCTCTCTGACCATTCCTTGATTTCTAAAATATCGAAAAACGGTGAAGGTGCAAGTGCACATCTTAATAATCGATCATATACGCTGCCAATTACCCCAGTTATTATATGCGTCAATCTAAATATGTGGGATTATGCGGATATCATCGTGATAAAATTAGTGGCAGTAAATGCAATATTGTGGGGTATATATTCGTGTTGTTAACAGGCAAAATCGAAAATGTTTTCCATGAATTCGAAGAGTAATAAAAATGTCCGACGGATAACGTACCTCAATGGTCATGAAGTTCGAATAGGCCCAGCCACTTTGAAGATAGTGCTCGACTATTCAGAATGTAAATTCTGTGCGGACTATCCATTAAAGGTAAACAGGAATGAACTATAAACATCCCAGGTGATCGTTTACGCCAAGGGATGATGTTCACCGGCAGTCACAATGAATTTTTCAGTTTCACTACTAAAAACACAAGAGAAGATTGACGCAGAATTCTGCGTTGTATGAAACAATACCTGAGTTTATTTGGCCTTCAAACGTAACGTGGATAGAAATGAGGTATTACAAGGAATAAACCTATAGAGTGGGATTGGCAAAGTCAATTATTGGTGGAAGGCCGCTTAGGGTCAAGTTCCGAATGCACAGCAGTCCGTGTTGTAATCGAGCATTGCCTAAGTGCACTTCAGCACCCATGCCTGTGTGCACACGAATAATGTACAACCAAATTACCTTTAGGATTATGTGATTTTGTGTTGCTTTTGTTGATTAAATTACGAAATAGATCTTTGTATTTCAACGAATATGTGTGACATGCTGGAAGTGCGATATTGAACTTAGCAGACCGCAACGAGTGTCATGGATTGGCAAATTTATTCACTTTTATTCGGATAATAGTCCTAATAACGAGAAAGAAAACCCAGAACAAGATATTTACGTTAGTTTCCATGCGTGCAACGAAGATGGAACGCTTATTCTTTCGACAGTTGACCGATTTCCTTTCAGAGCAGAATTAATGAACAGCACACCAACTGATCTTGGCCTGTCAGGTGAGAAATGCAATTCGCGATACACTGAATCAATAATAAAGAAACAGGCGTGCATGCGGTCCTGAAACGTGGCACATGCTATTACGATCTGTCTTAAAACGGCGATGCGCAAAATTCCGATGAATCCATGCCTTTTTCAAATTTAACTACTTGCTTAGTTTCAAAGGTAAAGATACGTTTAACAAAGAACTTAGTATAATACTTGAATAACAAAGAATATATTAGCATCGGTTGTGCTGAAATTTAAAATCAAGCTAAAATCCAAATAGCTAGGGAATTGTGACATTCATCATTGAGGATTCCAAAGTCTCAGGTTAAGCAGTTATCCGACATCCCCAATTCCGTACACCCCGTTACAAGCCTATTTCAAATTTCACTTCATTTCCATTTTTACAAATCTAGGTGCAATCGAAGTGAAAAATCGACATATAACACGCAATCAAGTTAATTTGATAAACAAAAATAAATCAAAAAATAAGAATTTAGCCGCGGCTAAAATATTACATCCCTATGGAATTTACCCGCCACAGGCACCTTATAAACCCAGAAAGGACTTTGAATCATATCACTTCGGAGCAGCTCGTTTCCATATCCTGATAGGAAGTAAGCTTCAGTGTGGTGAAGAGCTTGGTACTGCCGTCAGTTGAATGTTATCCTGGGCATCCTTCTCTCACTAGAGCTGTTGATTTGAAAGCGTTTAGAGTAATTTTGAACTGGCAAATTTGACAAAATTTCTTTTGCCTTCCACAATAATGATGCACAGTGATGTTTTTCCGAAAAAGCAGCATGTGCAAAGCGAATTATCATTAAATTTGGTACACACTGAAACTAGCGGATTCGTTGAGTCACCGTTTCAGAACACTGATAGTCAAAATAATAAAGAATAGATTGGTTTTGCGAAAAGCAGTTGAGTTCCTCGGAATACAATAAACATAATCAGTGTCGTACTCACAGAAATCACAATGTCAGTCTGTTCAAAATGTCTTGTTGATGCAGACGGTAATCACCAACTCACGGCCGATGTTTCCGTGATACCAATTACCTGTTATGCATGTCTATTTTCCATACGGATCAACCCATAAGAGAAGGTAAGTACTTTTATTCTTGAGTCTCGTATCAAGCAAATTTGATTCGAAGACGCTTTGTGGCAGTTAAGCGAAAATTGCTCAAGGGCGATCCAATCCAGAGCTAGATGACATACGAAAGCACCTCGGGTTACGTCACAAAAACATTTGTCTTAAACAGCATTTTCTTCTGCGTGAAATATGTCACCATCATACGAGGAAAAATTGCATTGCAAATAAGATATATAAATATATATAACATCACCATTATCGGAATCCAGTTACTGAATAGATACAATCATCTCTGGCACAATCACCTCGAAACACTTGACATTTTCCATTGCAGCTAATGAAGGTACGCAAATACCATCATGTTAGAGATTCCCTCCAATTACTTTGGTCATATGTTTGCATTTGTGAAGCGAGCATAAATAATTTAGGCTTCTGGGAAAAATACCTTTGTAACTGGGTGACTTGCAGCTGCAATTCATATGAAGTGGTCTAAAAACAACGATTTTACGTGGTTCATAATCAAACGTTATCAGTAATTTCGCAACGCATATTTTTCTCACAACACACCTTTTGTGTTAGTTTCAGTTTCCGAGCACAAATGCCATGGATATTGTCCACTAGGAAGAATTTCATGGCATTCTACCCGAGGATGAGAAAAATCGCACAGAATGCTAGTTTTATGGGAGAAACAAAAATATTCTGAAGGTGTTGTGGTAGTGGCGCAGTGGTGTACTCGCTATCACCGGCGTGCTTTGGACCCTACGATCTGAGTTTCGAGCCCCGCCCCCGCCACTCGACTTTGGTGTTTGACAGCTCAGCTGTCATCAGCTGTCATTTTCATGCCTAACCTATGGTGAACCCCGTTGATGGGTCATTATCAATAAGCGGTTGAGTATGAAATAGACTACGTCCAGGTACGGTCCATTGGTACAGCTTAGTTCTCCTTAATTCCCTTGATACCCTCGCAGCCAAACGGCTGGTTAAGAACTGTACATACCCCACGTACCACATATCATCTCGCTTCGGTCGTTGGTGAATATCTACAAGTTGCCCAGTAAAAATTAGAAAAAAACAGTTAAACGTGCATCATCAGCATTATACTCCCAGCTAACAAAACTGTATCCATGCCAATAGTGTTACCAATGAGGTTTTATGTTCTTACATAGAAGTGGATGCTCGCAGCACTGACACAGAGAAACCTAGTACAACACATTTGAATAATTTAAAATTCATTTAATGATCTTCTGTAGTGATTGAACTCGACCGGTATAGGTTTGCAAGTGTGCAAACATCAGCTATTTGAAAAAAAACACTGTAAAATATTATTTCAAGTGGTCACAACACACGGTGAATGAATAATTTTATGTTCGTAACTAGTTTAATCAATAATTCAGTAATTTGTTGTCTTCCCCGTAGAAACCAGAAGAATTATTTATTGATTGGCTATTGCCTCAATGACCCGTTGGCAAAGAGAACAAGTAATTTCTAGGTTCATGAGGCATACACTAAACAATTAAAGTACTTTGGCATATATTCTATCAATGTCGTGGAGGATTATTTCATTTTCATACACCGGAGTTCGCTGCCACGCAAAACACAATGCTGCAAGTGTGATACCTGAGGTGTAGCGTGATCATCACCATCACAATATCGCAATGTCTGTGTCACTATGTACAACGAAAAATCTAATTGAATAGCCTATCGATAACCGTTAGTAATATTCAATGCACTTTATGAACTCAATTTTGTTCGTAAATGTAATTACAGTTAAAACTAGCGCACGCCTAAGCCTCAGATTTCATGACGGAGTCAAGGTTATCCATGACCTGTTTCGTGTACGGGGTCAATCGTATGAGTCAACGAGTCATAGAAAGGGGTCAGCTCGAGTCATGCAACTGAATTCACTCCGTGGCCATGGCAGTTGAAGTGCTTTAACGAATCGTAATTGGGAACAAAGCGGTTAGTTAAGCAGGCGGATGGCTACTGCCTCAGCTGTTGTTAGATGTTGTGGGCGAACAGCCTTGGATGGATAAGGAGGAACCCGGTAGATCACCTTGAAAACGAGTTATTCGTTAACTAGAATATCAGAGGGAAGTACAACGACATTCGGATATAATATATAGATGGTAACCACCGGAAGGTAAATCTTAAAAGTAGAGAGAACTAATGGGCTAAATAAGAAATACATGTGCAAACATTCAAAAACATTAGAATGCTGTTCGCATACGTTAGTTGTCATTACCCCCAGCGGTTTTGATGTGGTCCGGCCAATGATGGTCTGTCCACGACGAAGCAGTTTAAAGTCCCTATTTAGGATTTGGGGCAAAACAACAAGTTAAAATTAAAGGAAATTGGGAAGAGACACTGGTCATTGAATTCAGACACAATCGGTTCTTGAATATGAAACTAACAAAAGTTACTGAAATCGGAAAGCAATTCGGCCAAGTTTACTGAGGATTCGCTAATAACAGGTACACTGAAGTTTATCATCGATGAAAACGAAATATATTTCCTAGAGCGTATCCGCGATGCTGGATAAGATAAAGAATAAGACAAAGGGAAGTTGAAAACATTTAGATGAATAAAGGAGAAAATTGGGCGAAAAATTGTTGAACGTTTTCGGAATTATCATAAAACTGTGAAATACTTTGAGACGGTCTGAAATAATATCACATTTTCAGCATATATGAAGAATGAAGCCGAGCCTTTAGCAGGCAATTTGCTAATACAGGCAGAAAATATATGGGGGAAGACTGCGACTTGGAGCACCCCGAATCGTATACTAATGGCTCAAACCTCTTCTGAAACAGGAGAATAGTCTTAGGACAACAGGTACTAAAATTGTAAGAGCAACAGATGGTATAGGGGCAAAACGGAAGCGTTTCGTTGGAGTAGCTTAATTAGATTATATGGGAATGTGCACAATGGTTACCGCTTTCCAACACTGTGCTATTGAGCGTGTATTTAAAGAATTGTTTAAAATAAGTGTTGATACTTCGCTGAGAGAATCGGTTTCATAATTGGGAAGGATAAACTCAACTCAGTCCGAAAGTAAAGTTCGGAGAGCCTTTATAAATCAAGGCGATCCGTAGGTCCAAAAGCAATATCATATCATCAATACGTCAAAAAAGTATTTAGTGGCTTCAAGAAAAACGATGTTGGGACAATTCTACGCCAGGAGCTTGGCACGTTTTTAGGATATAATCTCTATCTCCGGCACAGTCACGTTGTTCATGCGTTTTATGGACATTTTAACAAAACACGTCAGTGTAATAAACAAAGGTTTAATATTAGTCATTTTGTTTTGATATCAATACTTATCGCACCCGAACACTAGGTAAATTTAGGAAAATGTTCAAAACTGTTTTTACTAATGTTACTGGCCCAAAACACAATTTAAAATACGGGAGGAGACAAGTGACATAAATCACATTTGATGTGGAGGTTTCCAAATATACCACTTAGGCCAAAATTAGTTTTGTTGTGTCATGTCAATCAACTAACCGAAAGTTAATATCATTCGCGCGCATTTAGCTGCTGACAATTGGCTCATTCCAGTTCAGCTACACCCATTGATCCGAAGTACATAAATACTCAAGACATACTGCTTGGAATCTAAAAGAAAACATGATAGGGACATTCATCTTATTATCTACAATTACCAGCTGGTGTACCGCACTAGGTAATCTGAACATAGTGCTTTAACGATAATGCAAAATCGAAAAAATTGGTTTAGGCGCAGGCAAAGTTCCTTGCGAGGAGACGAAACTTGTGGCATCCGAGGCAAAGGAAAAACTCGTTCTTCTCAAAAATGCGTCTGTGGATTGCACATGGAGTATCAGTACATCCACAAGAAGAACGATTGAATTGACATGGCCTGCAAACACTGCTCAGGATTTAGGAAAGGTGAGGTGATTTCATTTTATTCTCTCTATTTTATGCGAGGCTTCTGCTACAAATTGTATCACAGTGACATTCCCTGAAGGCTCAAAAACGAAAGAATGGTGCAAAGCAACGGAAGACATAATTCAGTCCAAAGGTCCAATTACAATTGTCCGGAAGACCGCGAGTGCTGACCCTCCTGGTTCAAAGGAACAGTTGGAAGACATTATATTGGTTTATCAGCTGGGTGAGTTTGTTTTAGTGTATACCACAAAAGATACTTTGAAATAGAAGAAAACACCCCCGATGATTGTTTCATATTCTCGTGATCCATTTTCAGTCAACGATGCGGAATGCACAACCGCCCCGGGACGACCAGCGGAACAGTTGCAGTCCTTCAGTGTATCATCCAAAGATCCTATAACACCAGGACTTGCCTGCAGATGGGTACTTCAATCTGGTGAACAAAAAAGCATGCAAATTAGTTTGGATGTGAACTCCGTGAGTTTCACGTTCACATATTTTAGGATATGTAATTGGTATTGTCTGTTTTAGAGATTTGAAACTGTGATTCACCTCTGTTAATCTCGTTATCACTTTATTTCAACTTCACATGTTCTAACCACATATGTTTCTCACCCCTGACAGCAGGCGTCCACAGAACAATGCGTCAGTGTTTCAGACGCAGCCAGTACAGAACCCCCAACAGGATCCCAGATTTGTGCCACAGAAGGCAAAAACGTGTTTACTGCCGATGCTGATAAAAGTGTCGCCATCACGTTTGCAAGCTCTAAAGAGTTAAAAAACTTCAACGTTAATTATCAACTCGGTGAGCCTGTTTTTTACAATGTCGAAACCTTTCGGATATTGATGTATTGTGTTGTTCCAAAAGAAAGTGTACCGGATGCATGATATTCACAACACGTTCAATCGCATTGTATGCTGTTTTTCAACACAGATGTCGATATCGAGTAGGAGTTCGTTACGTTTAGTGTTATGTTTTGATATTGCGTTATCTCACTAGTGCGTTCCCATAGTTATCTAAGTGCAGCAGTTATCAGAGGCTGTTTCTCTGAATATGTGGGTTAGAAATAATGCCCACTATCTCGTGTTAGGAAACAAATTTCAACACCATGTGACTTTATAATGATTATTTTTCTAAGGTAATTTACTCCACGGATATCAGGTTCAACATATTCACTGCTGTCATAACGCATTACAATGATATTTTTCTCATAAAATTGCTGAAACTAAAGTGCTTACCTGTGCATACTTTGCTGAACAATTAGTCTACAAAAGACAGATCGAATTAATTTATTTTTTACGTCTCACACAATTAATATTTGACAAATCAATTTGCTGAGATAGAAGCTGGGAATCGCCAAAACTTACCAATAACGTGTATAACGTATCTGAGTTACGTAATTATTTGTTGTCCACAAGCTCGAAAAGAAATGTGTAAATTATAATTGCAGTTAACGATAAGCGATGCTCCGATACTCCGTCACCACCAACGGACAAACCACAATCGTTCTACGTCGCAAAATCTACTGAGACTATAGCGACCGGCTTGCTGTGTATCTGGGATCTTCCGACATCCGGTGGGAAAGATATACGTGTCACCTTGGATACTGACTCGGTAAGATTTTTGGTAAATTGTTCCGCCCTTGTCAAATAGATATTCACTAAACGATCTAGTTCAAATAAATTCAAACTTCTCATGCGAATTTCGTTTAATTCTGACTGTTTTGTGAATTAGTGGACGTCTTTTGTGGCGTTCTAGGCTTCTATACTTATGTGAATCAGTCGTTCTTTTTTTCAATGAGGGCATATACCATACACCACTTTACATTGCTGACTTCCGTAACGTTGGCTTCATTCAATCGGGATCTTCAATTATTCAATTTCTAAATATATGTCATGTTGAAAATTTCCATAAGATATTCCGAAGCTTGCAGCAATCTGCGCATGTAGTTCCATTTGAACCGATTCCAAACGAAAACCATTTCGATGACAGAGCAATCTTCAAAGGATAACGAATGCGATTGATTTGAAGTGTGAACGAAGAACTTACTAAATGGCATAAGCACTCTTAAAGACAATGTTTAAGCGGTAGGTTTCAACTCGTTGAGTATGAAATCTGTTTACTCTCAACATCAATACTAGTTTAAAACGACACCAAAACAAAGTTGACTAATAATGTAACATATCACTATTTTTCATTCGAATTGCAGACTAAAACCGAGAAGCAGTGCGTCACGGTTTCCAACAACGGTAATACTGGGAAGACGCTTATCTGTGGTAAAGCCCAAAACAATACTTTCATTTCCCGAAGGAAAGGCGTCGTGATTACCTACGGAGAGCAGTCCGCGTCTGAAAAAGAACAGCAAAACTTCAAAATAAACTATCAATACGGTCAGTTCTATGTAAAATTTTAATGTGTCTTAGAAATTATCGTTTTCAATTGTTGCATATTCTGGGCACATTTCCGTTACCATTTTTATTGGATTCATCTCCATTATCTGGCTGATTCCATCAAGTATTCTTAGGTGATTTTATCCAATTTGTCTCACAATTTTTAATCTGGAACAAATTCAATCTAGATGTTGCCGCCAAATCATTTCAATCCGGAATGCTTCTCACTGCATGTATTCTGATTTGCCTTCACAATTGGGACTGGTGAGTAAAAGTGAACCGTCTTGTTCAGTGTAATGACAGCTGTTGTCCTTCTATTTAATTACTGCTCAAATTCTAGTAGCCTTCATTAAACGATTGCTTATATTTTCTTATTTTGAACAGATGCAATATGGTGCAGTCTACCGAACTAACCAAGTTTCACTAAAACATTGTGAACATAACTGGGGACATATGAATCAACCGTGTAACCCAATGTACATAACTTTTAAAAACTAAATATAAATGACCTTTGCTTGATATGCCAATCACTTTTCATTCAAGCGTGCATTCTCTTTTAGCTTTCTGAATGCTTCCCTTTGATCAATAAGTTTTAGGTTGAGTGATTCGTAGCTCAGTACACGTTTTGACTCGAATCTGAAAACACTCCTCTCCTTTATCACCTATAACCAACGAAATTACGCATGGCCTTTCGTGAGCAACCCATAATGCCTGAACAACAGAATATATGCAGCTTTTATGCCCGTCACACGTTCCTGATAGAGCGAATATTCACCGATGGACTCACAAAATGCAACG